GAGTTTCTAAGACTTAGCTATAGCTCCACTTGTAGATGACCACAGCTTTACTCCCTGTCTACACTGGTGGCTTTTCCTTACCAGAACCACTGCTCCAATCAAACCAAGTTTTACCAGTCCTTACCACAAAGACTGTCTTCAACTAAAATATGTTATATATTAACAGCTTCCTTGACATGGGTCTGCTTGTGGGTGGCCATAGATGCATCTTAAAGCAACTGATGAAATTGCTGCCTTGCTCTTTATGCATTAATTGAGGCCAGGCCAGAATTACAGAAGGCAGGAGATCCGTAGCATAAATAGGTCACTCTCTTCACCTCCCTGTGGGTCAATGGAATAGATGGTGCTGAAAAATCAGAAATATCCTAGTCTAAATCCTTGCAGGTTCTTCACTCAGCTAACCTCATTTGAGAGAAAACAGCCATACTTGGATTTGAGAACTGAAAAGATCAGGTATAGGGTCTGACAGGGGGGCAAAGAAGATCTGAAGCTTGTCAACTTCAGAGTTACAAGCTAACTCCATCTGTAGCACCCACAAATTTTGATGCCAATGGACTAATAGGAAAAAAGAAGCTACCTCCTGGGATGTCACACTTGCTAGAGGAGGAAAGAAGTTAAGGGGTGAGACAGCGGAACAAGAATGAGTATAACCGACTTTCAAAGTGGATTAAATTATTTTTGAGATAATTGCATAAGAAAAAATTCTAGGAAGTGATGAAGAAAACAAGAATGAAAAAGACAGTATGAAAGAATGGAGCTTGGCCAGCTGAATCTATTTTAAACACTGAAGTGTGAAGCACTGATTCTATGACATGTAAGCACTACCAGGATTTATATTTAGCACATTCCTGATGGGACAACTTAACAGTCCTGTTATGTTTGATACTTTCTCTAATTCAAGTTACTGAAGAGACACCGTATCTTTTCATAATCAAGAAAAACACCTTTCCTGATATTTGTTCCTCTCCATTGTAGTTGTTGCCCTTCCCATACACCTAACTCACCCTTTCAATGGTCTACAGGACCACCCAGCATCCATTATCCCAAGGCATTCACACCTGTAATGACAACCCTGAAAACACAGCAGCTTATGCCCCTAGCAGTTCTAAGAGAAAAACCAAACCACACACTGGTGACAGAAAACTCAATTTTTTATATCGCCAGAATTCTCAAAAGAACTCCTACAATTCCTAAAGTCTAGAAATAATAAAACTACCCATCTACTTTCTCAAAGAATAATCTAATCTTGGAGATACGCCAAGTATTTTCACTCAAGTCTGATTTAAAGTGTCAAGCTGAACAGATACCAGGGGATGAAAATGGCAGTCTTACCTTCCCTTCTGCAGCACAACAGCCCTCTTTTGAAGGCCTGGATTAAATCTCTAGCAATGTGTCATCGCTATAAAAGGCAGAAGACCACACCACTTAATGTCTTCACCTTCCACAGGCTGATAAAGTGCTTCTAGGGTACAGCTGAGCCAAAACTATCCACCATGGTCAGCTATCTTGACATGTTTGAGCAAACTGTTCCACAGCAGACAGCATATGGTGAATATATAAGACAAAAACATCTTGCAGTATTTCTTAAGGCAATATGCTACTATATATAGGGATATATATGTCTCAATGTGCTAAACAGTGATTTTTTTTTTTCCCCTTAACTACTTACAGAGTCCACATTAAAGCACTGGATGTGCAACTGAATGGAAAAAGAACTGATTAAAGCAGTGGGTTGAAGTCTGATGTCCATAAATAAGCAAAAATTCCAAACCAAAGGCAAGTGTGTACAAAATAATTTATTATAGCATAACATATGTTGGCAATATTTTACAGTGAGTTTTCCATTCAACAATTTTGAATCTAAACAGATGACACACAAAGGAGAATTTTAATTAGAACAGTTTATTTGTCTTAATAAAATCCCCTCTTCATGAACTTATATTTGCCTTTGAGGGGCTAGTTAATATAACTGAAATTATTTACATTGCAGTGAAATAAAAACAAACCGAGATTGAATGATTCCGTAACAGTTCCCAGAAAATGGATTTTCTGTACAAGCCACAGTATAGTTATGTTTTGATAGCAGTTCTTATAGGATGTAAAGCTGTCATATGTAGCCATTTTGTCCAGCAATACTATGCTTTAAATAGGTATATTAGATTCGGACTTCCACTTCGATGTGTTGTATATTTAATAGTTAATGCACCAGAATACAAAATAAGAAAAAGGTTCATTCCGATTTGCAGTCACCCTCTTTGTGCTCCCTTAATAGGTTTTAAATGTAAAATGTACTCCTCACACACTATTCGCTTTGCAGCACCTAAAGGCATGAGAAGTACTGGAGTATTGGCCATCAGTGGACAACTAAGACTTTTAATGGAGGTAATACAGTAAAATTACCAGTGGATTTTTAGGATGTAGAGCAGAACTGTATTCCCCTTTACTGTACCTTCTGCATTTGCCCAAAATTGAAGCAGCTTTTTCAACTTAAGTGTCAACAGATGGGGAAAAACCAGGAGAGAGAGGAGGAAGGGAAAGATGGACCAAAGGACAAACAACAGTATCAAATTTATTATATTTTCACAGGGAATTGCTTCAGGATATTCAAACTTAATGTTAAACTGACCATAAACTTAAGAAAACAATAGCTATGGAACACAAGGTAGATAGAATAGTTTTCAAAAAGCCTTAGTTTTTTGTTGTTGTTGTTTGGGGTTTTTTGGTTGGTGGTTTTTTTTTTGGTTTTTTTTTTTTGTTTTTTTACACAAATCTAATCTTCATCTCCCATCAACACTGGTTCCATATAAGACACACACACCTGACAAAACATGCAAAACCCCCAATGCTTTGTTACTGTGCTTCAAAAGAAATCAAATTGACCAAAGACAAAAATAAAATTTAAAAAAAGGAAAAAAAACCAAACCCAGAAAAAACCTAAAGAACAGTAAAATATGAAGAGGGCAATTCAAGCAGCACTTCAGTCTTTATCTGCTAAAAACTCTTAAATGATGACTTATTAACAAGATATGATCACATTTAATTGTATATGCAACAACATTTATGTGAACACAGTCTTTAACATCCACATTTTTTGTGAGGGAAGGCTGATGGATTATTAAAAGACTTAAAACTGTACAAGTATAAACATGAAAAAACACTGATTAAGGATAATGTTTACATAAATATTGGCAGTTTTTGTCGGGAGGAAAAAAATAACTAATAGCATACTCCATTTCATTTAGCTATCCAAATATTTTGTTTTATACCTGTTAAAGATATTAAAATACAACCTGGAAAAGTAACCCTGATCTGTATCCAGCCAGCATGTAATGAGTCAGAGTTTCGTATACGTGTGTGCATGTAGGTACAGACACACACAGGCTTGCACGCACTACTTCAAATTTCATTAGACAGCAAGTCATGGTTAATGGCTGTATGATTCACAGATGCAATGCTGCTATCGTCCTCGTTTGTGGCAGGCATAAAGGCAGACGTAAAAGGAAACAGTTTATGACAGGCTGCTTGATATTCTTCACATTGAGTGCGGCAGCTTCCAAAACTGCCATCAAGCAGTGCCTCAAAAACCTTTGTTAATGTCTAAAGAAACAAAAGCAAGAGTTAATAAGTGTGATTCACAATTGGTTTAGTAATAAAAAGTGTACTGTTAAACAATACTGATCTGAGCAAACAGGTTCTCTGCTGGTATTCAGATATCTTACAGCTACTGAAAGGAAAAAAATTTAAGCCCCAGTTCATACCAGTAATATTAATTTATCATGACATATGAAACATGTGCATTATCCTGCAGTTAAGTATACATTATTTAAGATCCCACACATACTTTTGCTTTAAATACTGTATCTTTTACCTTCACATTTTTGTCTCTCATGTTTTTATCCAATCTAGTAGCAACAGCAATTGCTTTTTCTTGTCTTGATTTGTCCAGGAAATACATCATCTTCGCACCTTAACACAAGAAAGAACACAACATTTAGATAACAGCATTCCTGAATACAATACTTCATTTTCTCAGTGATACTCTGACTTCTTTTCAAAAGTACTGGAGGTAAGTGAACAGTACAGTCACTGAACAAATGTGGAACACAGTCCAGAAGAAATTCAGACCAGGATAGGTCCATCTGGCAGAAAGTAAGACCAAGGGTTGCAAGTATTTCTCTCAAGATGCTGTTCTGAAACAGGGAGCTTTTAATGGGCTATCCAGCCTTTCCTTAAGTGAGATGAACAGTCCTCTAGTGCCAACTTTTTTCCAGTGATTCTGAAGAGATCCCTGGTACCTTTTACAAACTAGGTGAAATTAGTCTTGCTCCAAGTACTTCAAGTGCTTGACAAATCTATACTTATTTTTGCTTCCTAACTGCTGAAGAGTTGTTTTGTTTTCCCCTGTACTAGATTCTCAGGTGACATCAATTTTTAATCCAAAACTTTCTGTACTCAGTAGACATGACAAATTTCAAATTCAGCTTCCTTTGACTTAACTCCAGCAGCTTCTCATAGCTCTTCTTCACAAATAGTGTAAGAGTGCTGTAGTGCAACATTTTCATTGCTGACCACAGGGCAGGAAAGCAAAAGTAACAAGTTTTTTTTATGGTATTTTTATTGATGCTGTTGCTACTTGACAAAGCTATGAGTAGGAACAGAGGCACTGCAGCTGATAACAGAACACAGAAAAGCACTGCTACTAATATATAGGATTTTTTGTTTTCTGTTTTCTCACCATTTCAAAACTAGAAGCTGCAACAGGAGGGATGGCAGTGCTTCCATACTTCAATGTCTGTGGTGGTGATTGTACTTTTTGGAGGTAAGCAGATTCCTTATGCATATAATAAAGTGATTAAGTTGTTTGGTGTTTTTTTAATGTAAAAGCAGACATAAAATCAGAGTAAACAACATACAAATTCCTGGCCCATTGGAATTTGTGTGTGATTTATGGACTGCAGATGAAGATTCCGAATTTAAATCACTGGAATTGTCTCATTTTCAAGAGCATTAAAAAGTTAAAACAAACCTGACAGTTGGTGCTGAATGGAGGTAGCATTGTGTTTGAGAAATTCTTCATTAAAACTTTCCAAGTTTTTATTAACAAAGATTTTCTGCATTTCTTGAGTTAGGACCTTGCTCACAATTTCTGGGAGGTTACTATGGTCAGATACTAGAAGGGGGAAGGTTAGAGGGAGAGAAGCAAAAAAAAAATTCCATTTAAACAACTGTAGGAAACACTGTGAAACCATAATAATCACTGCTAAAATTCCCATTTTTTAAAAAAAAAAGATTTGGACACGGGAAGAAACCCAAATTCTAGTTCAAAAGAGTATTACAGGTCAACACAAGCTTTGGTATTCAGAAAATAAATGTCAGATTCTGATTATGTATGCAAAATGAGTAATTTTCAAAATATATTCACACTCTGCAGGACAAACCATATGTTACCAGTCAGAGTGATTTTATTTAAATCACCTAATTGGGAAGGAAGACAGCAAGATAAACTCCATCAGCTCCTTTTAATGCTGCCTTATGTACAACTTGTTGTTATCCCAAGAAATCGTTAAGACCTTATCTAAGCTGATTCCTGTGACAAAATAAAGCACTATGTCTGGTATGTTTCTTCAAAGCAAAGAGGATATACATTGAAGTAATTATAAGCTCTAGAAATCCAGCCAAAATGAGTTATTAGGTCCACCTGGTGCATTAAGGGAGGAAGTAGTAGTACACAGCACAAGCTGTGATTTCATAGGTATTATCAAGGAAAACAAACCCTTTATTATTTTTTTCTTCATATTGGTTTGTGTTTCAAGAGAAGTTATAGATATTACAAAAATATGTACTTATGTCCTTGTACAGATAAAACTTCCTCTATCTTTATACATACATACGTACTTCCTACGCACGTACCAGCTTTTGAGAATTTAATCAAGCACTCGTGTAGCCATGGGTTATTACTGTTGATAGCAAAAGCTCTTTTGACAGACTGTAACATTAACAGAAACTTTCCTGTAGGAGGGAGAAAAACCAAAAATATACCAAGATTAAGAATACAACACATTTTCTCTTTCTATCAACTACTGTCTTCTTTAGTAAATCGAGTACAAGCATTGGAAATACCAATGCCTATACAGACTAGAACGGAGATTTATTTTTCCCCATCCAAACTGCCTACTGCTCGAACTCTGGCAGCACTGCATAGATGCCATTACTATATGTTTGGCTTTGTTTTCCCCTAGTTAATTAAAGATCACACTACAAGTATCTTTCTAGAGCATCTATTAGTATATACCACAACTTACTTTGCTCTTAGTATTTTTGTTTGTTTTAAGGGCGGGTGGCTAAACAAAAGTGCTATTACTGGGTATGCTGCAAGCAAATTCCAGCTTTAGTCAAATATCTATTGCAGACCATTTTAGGCTACAATCACATAACACAGGCCACAGCAAAGGGTTAAAATTTTACACAGCAAAAAAATAAAATTATGCAGTACTTTACCTTTTCTAAAGTATATTTCAAATGCTAATAAATGTGTTTCTATATCATCTCCAATAAGGTTCTTAAGCGGTATAAGGAACTTAATGGCTTCTTCTAATGGATTTTCTACCTGTTTTAAAAAAAACAGTGAAATTTAAAGCTTAAAATAAATGTCAAAGAAAAAACACCAAGGATAGTTACCGTTATTCAGAGCATTTAAAGACAGAGGCCATAGGTGAACTGTAGACAGCTTTCTGAATTAAACTGAATCACAACATTTTTATTTGAACAGTGAGATTTAAAAGTGTTTACTCATGAATTCATGTTGACAAAGACATCACCATTGCTAACTCTGGCACTTCTTATGTGATGTACTCAGTGTTGTAATTTAACATTTAGGAAACTATTAAATATGACCACCTTCGACAACAAGCTTAAACTTCTGAAGTTACTCTGATAAAGGAGACAGGTCTTTTTTGTGCTTCAAGAAATACTGGCTCATGTCTTCAAATTTTTGCTTCAAATCATGTCTTCAAAAATTCCTGTTTGTTTTTCTCTATTCATTGTATGAAAACTACAGTTGTTCAGGCAAGAACCATCTTTTTATTAAGTATCTATCTTAATGAAGGATGGTCTGTTCTTTGAAAAAATTTTAAATAAAGTAACTATATTAATATAGATCTTTGATTTATTAGAGGAAAAAATACTACTTTTCTTTAGTGTCAATACAGATATACTATAAAATGGTATTTTTGCATGTAAAAAAAAATTATAAAAAACAATGGATTCTTTTAGGAGAATCCGATAGTAACATCCCATATTATAAGCTTTTAATGATAATCACATGAATTTAACATGAAAGACCATGCTAACCCTTTCCAGTTTTTCAGGAACTAGCTCTTCCCTGGGTCCACTAGTTTCCTCTTCCTCTTCATCTCGCTTTTTCTTTTGATTCTTTTGTTGTCGCTCTCTTTCCGCATGTTTTCTTTCCTCTTCAAGTTTTGCTTTCTTCTGTGCTCTTCTTTGCTTGCTAAGCATTTTCTTCAATTCTTTGGCTGAGAGATTTTCTGCAGGTTAAGGTAACAAACAGGTAACTTACATTAACGGAGGATTTAATTAAATATCTTGTTTTTCGTAAATAACGCTCAGACACTACACTCCTCCCCATTTCAAAGCGGCATACTTTTACATATTTTCTATAAATATCAGCACTTGCCAAATGTTGGACTACATCACTATGCAGTCCAACATTACTATTGGATTACTATTTACAGCATAACACAACACTTTATCTTGCATATTTTCTCTTACATAGTTGTTACAGAAACCTCAACTATTTGAAAGGTTAACTACATAAAGTTGTTATACCTATGACAGAATTTACCTTGGAAAAAAAGACAAGGGTTTTCAAGGGTAATACTAAGCTCCCCTATTGACTGTAGCTCAGCTTTTAATGATAACTAGAAACATCCAGACAGCTTTACACTTCATCTTTTTGTTATCTTCCATTAAAGTGTCAATAAAGTGAACAATATACAGACATGATAATTGCATTGATTTGCTGCAAACACCATGGGATAGCTAAATGGATGCAAGTAAAAACTGGTATTGTTTGAGGTGAGGAGAGGCAAAGTATTCTGGTATGTATTAGCAGGACCAGTATGAATCTTCAGGCTGCTTGCTGCGTTTTGATGTTTAGACTGGACTAGCATTTAGATAAACCAAGAAGGTTTAACGGTTGTAAACGCAGAACACAAAACATGCTTTCCTACGAGGTTCATATAGGATTGAACTTTAGCCTTTCCATTTGTCATTCTCTTTCCTGCTGTCCCACTGACTTGACCAGTTTAGCCTGAATAATGCTGTTGTTTCCACTTTGTTTACTGTGGTGTTCACAAAGAACAGGATCTGTGTAAATAAAGTAGTAAGGAAAAAGAAGAACAAGCTACTGAGGGACTAATGCATCGTGTTTTGTGGCTCTCTGCTGAGGCCAGCCACCATCCTAATATATGGGAAGAAAGCAGCAGCAAGCATTCTTTTTACCCCATTCATACAGTGTTGTCTTCCTTGTGGATGACACTACTGAATCCCAATGCACAGCCTGCAAATGAGCTAATGTGACTTCTTAGACCCTTCCCTACCTTACTTTCTATGACATTATCACTGTCAAGATCCCATGTCACACACCTATCTTACATTATACACACAAATTAAAATTTGAAAGAAAAAAAGATGGAAGAACTGTGCTATGAAATGTGACCCTTTTCAGATGCACTTCATTATACACAGGCAGATATGGAAAAACTTACTATTTCACCTCTGAATGAAAGGTTAAAACAGGACTTTGGGCAATCTGTTTAGTGGGAGGTATCTCTGCCCTTGGCAGGGGGGTTGGACTGTATGTTCTTTAGGGTCCCTTTCAACCCAAACCATTCTGTGATTTTATACATTGGTAATATTAAGTGTCATTTTTGGTTTAGGTTAACTTTTTCCCCAGTTGAAATATTTTTGACTTCGCAAAGAGCTAGTTGTTACCTTCATCCCTCTAGTCAACAACCACTGCAGTGCTGACAGTAGCTGTAGTTCCACAAGAGGAGAGACAACTGTAGCATGTTACCTATGATCTCTTTTCAGTTATCAAGGCATGACAGAAAAGAGGAAAAACCTGTGCATGTTACAACTCATATTTATTCTACAGCACATAGCTTACTAAGTTTCTATGTGTCATATACATATGAGCCTCCATTATGGTCCAGGTACCTGAATTCACTTCTTGTTCTTTGCTTTCATTGGTAAGAGGATTATCATGGAGCTTCAAGTAGATTTCAATTGCTGATCGAGCAGCCTTGAAGTAGAAGGCATGTTTCCTGAGCACATCTTCTAATCTCAAAAGGTCTACATAGGCACGAAGAGTCATCTTTCTCATGCAGTATGTGTGGAAGTCAAACTGATCATCTGTTATCTCAAAAAAATGCTTCAAGAAAAAAAAAAAGATACACAAGTGTGATGCACTTCCCTTGCTTAGTCTATTTTTTAATATTAAATAGAAGTGAATAAAGTTACAACTGATATTATTTATAGGCAGTATTTAACAAGCACAGAAATATTCTTAAATTACTGACTGCCGAAGAGAACCTGTCAGTAGGGAAAAAAAATCCACCCAGAAAAATCTTATTTTGTTAACAAAACCTATAATGTGATTGTTTAAAGACTTAGGCACTCTTTAAAAGCCAACTGAAATGACTAAAAAAAAAAAAACCCACCAAACAATTGGCAAAAGACAGCATAAAGTTAACATACAAACAGTTGCAGAGTTAGAAGTGTTTTGATATTGAATCCTTTTCACTTCAAATACTTGTTTTGCATATAATGGCTGGGGATGACATCTTATCTACTACAATAAACCATCAAGCATTAACCTGTTTTTAAAAGTCATTACACTAGAAACTTTATATGCAAAGAAAATCACGCTGTTTACATCAGCAAACATCTTCATTAGCCTATGAGAAATACTGGGAAAGGAACTGATGGTGTTTGCACCTACTTACCCTTTCTACTTCATGGCATTTTTTCAAGGCATCACCATACTTCCCTAGTCTTTGATAAGCTGCAGCACATTCGGTCTGGAACCACATACACTGCATCTCATTTAGGTTTTCCATAGCAGAAGTTCCTTCCTGAAATAAGTGTCATTATAACTTTTTTCTATTATAATTTACCAGCTGCTTCTTTCAACTCTGGCTAGCTTCAGGGCATTAGGAAGAAGCAATCAATCCTACTTGGAATATAGTTTTCAATGGATATAGCCACACACTAACTGAGAATAGTTTGTGATACCTTAATTCTCCCCAAGAGAGAAAGAAATCAATTGAAATTATTTAAAAACAAATTCTCAAGATTAGTGTCTCAACAAATTTTAAAAATTAACTTCTGCTTTTATACACAGTCTTATTTCTACAATCTAGGGGCAGAAAACAACATTTAAAAAAAAATCTTACAGTTCAGCAAGTAATTTTCATTGCTTTTTCCCCAGTCAGGTAAATGGCATCTACTAGTCTAAATATCCACCAATATATATTTACTGCCTTATCATGTAGTATGAATAATTATGAGTTTCTTAAAACTTGTTAGTATAAATAAATGAAGTTAGTTTATACTTCAGACTTTTACAAGAAAAAAATCCTAGGATTTATCTTTCATAGTTTCAATGCTCTAGATGAAGAATAAACAGGCTGGAAGTACATTTCACATATCACAAATGCTAGCCACCAAGTTTTCAGAGCAGTCTTTATACTAGGGGAAAAAACCAAACAGTTCAACTCTACAACATTTATTTAGGATCAGATTTATCCTACCTTACCACACAGGAAGCTATGCTAGATTTCTATATTTCTTGCTATCACTCTTCAGATAAGCATACACCATGTGTTTAGTAATCAAATTTTCGATAGTTCCTAGAAATATCTAGAAAACTCAGATTCACTTTCAAGTGTTTCCACAATTAAAATTAAAAATTAAGGAGCCTAATTCATTTATGTGCTCCAGGAAATCTCACCAAGTAGCTGTCATAATATTTAGTTACATAAATAATACAGAAATCTGGCCTTTATGGCTCTAAAATTTGTTCAACATCAAAAATACAGAATTTGAAGTGCTTACTCCATTATTTAAGGATAGGATTTGCTGTAACAAAATTTGTGTGTAGTACTAGCTTAATGGAATGATACGTTCAAGTTCAAATTACATTTTTGTTAATGCTAAATCATAATGAACACAGCACACATTCCTGTGCAGTTAGCTCAGATGGTATTACTGGGAAATGGCAGGTTTTGCAAACAAGGTATCCCATCAGATTAATTTTCAAAGAGGTACTTACAAGTATGGCAACAAAAAAACTACTTCTGGACAACTATGCTTGAACAACCATTTTTTTTCTAGCATTGACTGGGTCTTTACGGCTGGAGTACTGCTTCTAGCTCTGCAGCCCCCAGCACAACAGGGACATAGACCTGTTAGAGCAGGTCTAGAGGAGGGCCATGAAAAAACTCAGAGGAGAGGAACAGCTCTCTCCTCTGAAGAAAGGCTCAGAGAGCTGGAATTGTTCAGCCTGGAGAAGGGAAGGCTCTGGGGAGACCTTTCAATATATAGAAAAAAAAAAAGAGACTTTTCACCAGGACCTGTAGTGACAGGACAAGGGGCAACAGTTTTAAACCGAAAGAGGGTAGATTTAGACAGGACATAAGGAGAAAGTTTTTTTAGGATGAGAGTGGTGAGACACTGGCACAGGTTGCCCAGGGAAGTTGTGGATGCCCCCTCCCTGGCAGTGTTCAAGGCTAGGTTGTTCAGGGCTTTGGGCAACCAGGTCTGGTGGGAGGTGTCCCTGCCCATGGCAGGGGGGTTGGACTGGATGAGCTTTATATGGTCCCTTCCAACCCAAGCCATCCTATGGTTCTATATAGTTATTTACTATTAAGTGTAAGAGCATTAAGTTAAAATGGACACCAAAAAATATTTTTAAAATCTTGGTCCAAAGTTACATGAGTAAAAAATGAACTGCCAGAAGCAAACAAAACCTCTCTTCATTAAAGCAATACTTACCCTTGTGAATTTAGAGCACATCTCCTCTGCATCCTTCACCATATTTGCTCGCAGCATGTACTTGGCACATTTGGAATTGATAAATCTATCTGCAGTATCCAAAGACTGTGCTTCATCCATCCATTTGGCAGCTTCCTTGAGGTTACCTACATGCTGTTAGGGAGAAATTAAATAGTTAACTTTCAGTATAATCCCGATATTGACCAAATCCTGAAATCTATACTTACTGGTAATTCTCCCTCAGAAATAACAGAAGGCAGTATTATTGTTCATTCTGCTCCTGCCCTTAGATTTCTTCAGAATGACAATTTACTGTAAGCTGTGACTTGCTTTGCAAAATCTAAACAAAACATAAGTGTTTTCATTTTCTTCCTGACAGAACAGTGCACAAAAAGAAACCCAGAAAAAAACTGATGCCCACAACCACTGCTAACTGAAATAACTACCCACACATTCACACCAGCTCAATGGGTTGTTTTTTTAATATAAACTAGGTACTCTAGATGTCCAAAATCACTTTTTACCTTGTAAATTTTTGCTTTTAAATAGAACAGCTCTATTAATGTTGGAGTGCTTGCAATTGCAGCATTTATGTAATCCAAGGCCAAAGAACACTGGCCAAGTCTGTCAAAGTGCTGTGCCAGGAAATACCGAACCCAAAGCAGTGTCGTTGGGGGCTCTCTCTCGCCGTTTTCTGCAACAAAACGGAAAAAGTTACAGTAACCATTAAGGTTTTAGACTGCATTTGAAAGGAAAGTAAACAAAAAACGAAGCTTGGCAAATTCAGCAAATATTCTCTGTAATGCATTTACTTACTACAAGGTTTTACAACTGTTTTCAGTGTCAGCACTTCAACAGTTCTTGATGACTGCCATAACCAGTCTCAGTAATTACAGCGTAATTAATTTAAGACCATAGGAACTTACCACACGTACTAAAAAGATCACAAGTTTTCAAAGAGGCTTCGTAACCAGTAACAAGTTCTTGGATTGTAGAAACCTGCATACAAAAAAAATCAACTTAAGTTTTGCTTTACTATCATGTTCACATAAACACACTGAAAAACATACTGTGACAAAGTTAGAGAAACTATATTAAAATAATTACTTAATCTGTAAAAAATGTGGATGTATCCTCATTTAGTTTGCTTCACCTTTTACACGCTACCTTGTATCACTCATTTTAACTCATGACATGGCAGGTAAACAGGTGTAATTTTTGGCAGCTTACAGCATACAGTAATCAAGCACATTTGATTAGTATCCTTGTTAAGTTGTATTTTGAAATTTTTATTTATGCTATTAGTTTTTAAGTGTCCAAACTGCGCCAACTGAAAAAGGTGTTTTGGAAAAGACTCCATGTGAACTTCCCATAACTCTGAAGATACAGAAGAGACTTCTGTGGTTTTCTGGGATGCTGGTATGTATTACTAAGGATCTTTTTTTTTTTTTAACAAAAGGTATCATTGCCTAGAATACCAGCTACATCTTTTTACACAAAATTTTATATAGTGATTGATTTAAGTCTAATACTTTCAGAAATGGGACCTTGTCAACAATACTGCTCACACCAAGGCTGAAAACTCAAAAGTCATCCATACAGTTCTGAACTCGCACTATATGAGGCTGGCATTTACAGTACCTAAAAATGTTAGGATCTGTGCATTTCATGACAATGAACTGCTCCAGTACCAGTGGCTTACAAGTGCCACGCAGTATTTCTAAGCATTTTATGAAATGTTCAACCTGTTTTGTAGCTACATTGTAAGTGTGCCTGCCATATCCAGCAAGTAATCAGCCTCTTCAACAAATAAAAACAACACTAAAGAAACAAACAAACAAAAAAAGTGATCTATGTGATCTAGGATCATCCAAAATACAGAAGGGACTTAAAAAAAATAAGATCTGATTGTAAGCATAGCAGTATAATGGTTACTTCACCAATTAGGTGAAACTTTGAGATGGTAAAAGTCTGAAACTTCTATGGTTAAAAGATGATCCTATCTCAAAAAATAGTTGGTTGTAAGAGTGAAACAAAAAATACTGTGGAGAGACAGCAAAATTTTAAAAAGCAGGATTTGACAAAGTGTTATATACACTTCAAGTTACCATTTGGGAGAGGAGGGGAAGGGAATAAGCCTTGTTCCAGAAATTTAAGTATACTACTCTATTTAACCTAATTCAGCACAGTAGGCAAGAAATGCCAAGCATTTTATCTCAAAGAGAGTAGAGAAGGCAAAGTCTAAGTGATACACAGCCAGTGTAAATGTCTCAGAAGGGTAATGAAACATATAAATACACACACATTCTGGAAAGCTCTAGGAAAATCTCCTAAGAAATGGTTTCTGGCAGCAAAATCTCATTAAATAATATAAAATGTTACTACACTTCAAATAATTACAAAGTGATAAAGGTATGTAAAGAAGTCACAAGTAAACGGACAAGGCAAATAAATGCATTAAGCTGTTCTCTAGCCTCAGACACCTGTTCACTAAAAGAAACCTTCAACAACCTCAGAAAACCTGTGAATATTCTCTTCTCTATAATGTGTTTAAATGCAGAAGTGAGCATCTGCTCCAGGTAGCAGGCTTGCAATGTATATGTGCAACAGAGTAAATGTTATTTCTTTGCTGCTTTTCACTGGAACTTCAAAGTATTCCCAAAGTTACTCTCATTTGGCTGTTAGTAAACTCAAATTCCTTTGAGATCAGCCTGCTTTGCTAGACAGCAAGTGAACGTGTGTAAAGGAAGAAAAAGACCCCTTCATTTCTTTAATAAACACATCCCATCATGACCACTGAACTATTTCTATGTTTTTTTTTTTCCACTGCTGCACATTTGGGATATGACTTCATAGATGGACAAAGACCATGACACAGCCAAAAAGAATGGTGCCAGCTCCCCCGAACCACATGTGCCTCGTCTCTGCTTTGGGTCAGTGCTAGTGGCTGTACTCAGCGTTACAAGTGATTTACTCACAGACCTGAGTGTAAGACTCCTCCTAGCAGAAGGGTCTTCACTCAGCTTACAGCAACAGTGAAACCAAATCCTCTGATCTTGAGGTAATGGACAATACTGAACTGTACCATGTTTTAAAAGACGCTATGTTCTTCAAATTCAGAACTCTGCAGTGGTTTTGGCTTCTACAGTCCAAAAAACTACACTACCATTGTCATTCTGAAAACTACTGTGAATGATACCTTTGGAAACAAGTACTCAGTGAAAGCAACAGCAACAAAAACAGCACAAATCAGGTAGGTAAGTTATTGCAGACATTCGTAATGAAAATGACAGTGTCTTTGTTTCTCATGAGTACTCAGAATCCTTTTCCTCTCTTTTTACACTTATGCTAAACTACTGCTAGTTTTTTAGGAAAATAATTCCAGGTCCATGTGCTGCTTCAGAAACAAATTACCTGGAAATATGAGCCTTAATTTCTGTGTCCATATTAACTGCAAATTCAGTAGAAAAATCTGTCTCAGATTCCCTACCATCTATTACATGTATTCTCAAGTCACCACCGCCATCCTAAAGGCAGTAATATTTTACTATTTCCCAACACTACAGCATTCTTCATAAAGATCACTTTACAATTCCTAAAAAAAAAAATATCAAGCTGAGGTATCTGGAAATAGCATGATACTGACCATGAGTTAACTTCTATTAGGGAGAAAAACAAGCAAAAAAACCAACCCCAACCAACAGTTATTTCCTTGACATGGATCTGAGAAAAGCTTGAAGTATCACAGAAGCATAACAGAAGTAATAAAAAGCTCATATTTTGCTATGACAAGAATGGAGTCATTCCAGAACTGGGGCCACCCGTTTCAGAAGTCTCTTAAATAACCATAACAAGCCTTTTCATAGGTCATTACCTACCACTTTAATTTCCTTACAAAAGAACAATGAGCTAAGAAGCAAGAACCCAAGAAGAGGGAAATGGGCTCCAGCCTTCCCCACTAGCAGAGACAAGCAAAGTGCTCATTTCTCTTCCTATACCTTATGTTAATCTTAAAATTTCACGTGCTCACAAACCAGTAGAGATTCTCATCAAGTGTAATAATCTCTAAAGTTAAGACAGCATCTTCCACACTCTGTACTACTTGAAGTAAGGACTTCACAAAGGCCAGAATCACAGACTGGCAGGGACCTCTGAAGACCATCTACTCCAACCCCTCTGCTAGAGCAGGATCACACAGGAACACGTCCAGGAAGGTCTTGAATGTCTCGAGAGAAGAAGGTCTCCCCAGTCTTTTGTTTTCCAGGCTGAACAACCCCAGCTCTCTTGGACACCAAGCTGTTGACCACAACTCTAAGTGTGACCATCCAGCCAACTCCTTGTCCACCAAGTGGTCTACCCATCAAGTCCATGTCTGTCCAATTTAGAGACAAGGATGTCATACAGGACAGTGGCAAATGCTTTGCACAAGTCCAGGTAGATGACACTGGTTGCTCTTCCCTTATCCACCAACGCTATAACCCCATGATAGAAAGCCTTCCTTCTTCAATCAGGGCTGGATCCCTTCCTGCACTGGGCACCACTCTCCAAGGGCTTGTCCCCTGCACCAGAGAAACCCATCATGTCCAGCGAACCAACTGCTGGAGCTGCAAGTGGGACTTCATTTTCTTCCATTCATGCACAGTTTATTCCCATTAGAAAGGATGTTTTCATAACTAAACTTTGAGTAACTGCCGTAAAATTAGTACTTGAGAAATACAAACTGAGACTTACATAGATATCATGCATACACATCCTAATTTATTTTAAAAGTGTAAGCAACAAGAACATAATTCACTTACACCTCAATCCTAAATTACTTTTTCCTATGAGCATTATTTATTTATCTGATTTTACTGCAAAGTATTTTTGCATCCTCTTTTGTAAGGCATAGCCTAAGGGAAAGTTACTGTTTCCGAGATAAATGGCTGATGGCTGGAATTCTTTTATTGTCACTTGCAGCTATTATGGTGGCACCCATGGGCCAGTTATTAAATTAAAATCTGCGCTGCATACTATGCCATATACCAAGTGACTCCTCCTATCACAGAAATCTGTTTAGACCAAGAGCAAAAGAGAACTATCAAAGTTAAGAGCAATAATATGGGGATCCAAAATGGCATGTTAGGGCTACAGGAACTTAAACTCTAGTTTGATATTTATTTTTTTTTATACTCCATGCAGGAGGTAAGTTGAATGGAAGGACAAAATAATAGAAGCAATACATAAAAGTTTAAGAAACACACATTCAACACTTGAGGTGAAATACTTAATGGAAGATTAAATCAACAGCACACTAGCACAAAGCAAGGATGCAGATTTCTCACATAAATGGCTCAAACCTCTGGTTCATTACTATGGAAGTTAAATTACTAAACTGATTGTATAATCTATTATTACAGCAGTAGGGCAAATATTTTATCATAGATTTCTCTTTAACTGACAACCTTCAAAGCACTGATACTATATATCCTCCTTCAATGACATAACTGCAAGAAAAAAAGCCAAATTATCAATACCAGTCATATAGAAATATTGCAATGTATTACAAGGTGATCACATTTAAGATGTCAATAGCCTTTTTTTGTTAAAGGATTCAGCTTTAAACTGATTTATTAGTCACAATCGCTACGTTTAAGTTCAGTTGCTACCATTATAAAAAAAAAGTCAGTAAGAGCTCACCAGCACTTCCAGTGCACAAACAAATTAAAAGCCACTGTAGGGAGTTTCAGAAGCTATCCATATGTTTAACATTTGGCACAAGTTTGAGGCCTTGCCTTACAAATCCCTGGGAACACGTCCTTTGGAACACTCTTCTCAAAGACAACCAACCAAAAGGGAAAGTTTGAATACTGCTACTGAGATATAAAGTTTCAAGGTGCATCTGTAAAGCTGCCCAAACAAGAAAATATGCCACTGACCTGGAGATACAGATACAAAGGTCTTACATACTAAGAAAATTTAGTTATGCATTAGTGCAGACGAATCTTTAGGTCAATCCCATAAATATTTTAGAAAGATGCGCTCTAGTACGTGCTTTCATAAAGAGATTTAACTGTTACAAAATTAATACATATTTGCACTACTGAGGCACAGGCACAAGGTACATTACCTTGCTTGAACACCATCAGCAATGAAATGGAAACAAAGCAATGGAGAAGAGTAAAAAGACAGCAGACAGGAACGAGATCACACATTACTTGGCACAAATATGTGTAGTGTGACATTTAAACCACTAAAGTGTCCCATCATCATCATGCATCAAATGCATCACCTCTGGGAATTACTACACAGTAGGAGACTGACACTTTAGAAAACCACTTTTTTAATGAAATGCCCAATAACCATACATACCAGAAGCTAAGTATTTGCATGTTGATTTTTTCAAGAGAATTGAAACTTTTTGAAGACTACTCAGTTCTGTACTATATCCACAATAATTTTGATTAGTTACTTTCATTAAAAAACTTTTTCTTCTCCTTCAAGCAGCTGCACAGTGCACTGCAGCTTATTCCAAAGCAGTAAATGGTGTCTTTAAGAAGATGCTGCTATCTCAGAAAATAGTCCAACCTCATCTCAGTGCCAAATCTGCAAACTTCTGAAATTTCAGTGTCTTAAACTGTACCTTGTTCTTCAAACAGAATTCAACAGATGCTGCAAGTCTGAGACTCCATGACAGAGTGGGAGACTTTTCCATGTGGTAACACTCTGGCTAATCCCTTTCACAACCTTCCACAAAAGGCTGGAGGAGAAGAATTAGGCAACAATTCTTCAGCTTCCAGTAGGGGACCCAGTGAGGCTTCTCTTAAACTTCTAGCTATTTACTTCTCGGTAACTACAACAAATAGATATTAAAAAAAATAAAAATCACAAGAATCTCACCTACTCAGATTCACCCATCTCATAAAGCTCTTGAATTAAACTGTAAAAGAAGGATTATCTAGAAGGATCATTCTGTAGTCAAAAGCCATGTAGCATCAGTACTTCGACGAGAAAAAAAACAAAGAGCTGAAAGCACAGATGCTTCATATTCGTCATCTACACAAACACAGGCTTGCACAAACATAAACCCCTTTGAGACACCCAGTCCTGAAGCAGTACATAAAACCTTTGGTTGCAGGAAAAAATATCTGTAACATCCAGCAATCAGAACTGCCTTGATATTACCAAGCAGCTATCTTCCAAATAGCTAGCACCCTCAAACTTCAAACACTAACTGTATTTTGGCACAAGTATCAGATATATCCCATACAGACACCCCCTTCATTTCATAGACAGTTGTTACATGGAGCATTAACTTTCTGAACTTCAGCTTATAGACAATTTGAAAGACAACTGTAGACCTGTCTGAGAAGGGAGATGTGTTGCTGCCAAACTTTTTTCCCTCCTTCAAAATAATGGAGCAATTTCAGAAACATCTTCTCTCATATTGACAAAGCAATTCCACTGTTCTAGCAAGCCGATGTCTACTGCAGAAGGGCCTGAATAAGAGAGGGAAAACAGCAGGTAGAAGGGGATAACCTTCATGAACTTGCTTCCATAGGATGAAGGTCTTCTGTGCTGGAAACGAAACAGGATGTTTCCTAAGACAGATGTTCTCAATTCTGAAACATGACAATTTGGCTCAGATGTCCAACAGCTGCATTTTCTTACAATTCAAGATGTCAACATGGGTGGTCTTCACCACTGGGACACCTGATTTCTCAGCTAGTTCTGAAGACCCACTTCATGGATGAGGGAAAGTTTGTGGATATTGTTTACCTGAACTTTACTAAAATCTTTGAAACAGTTTCCCACAGCATTCTCCTGGAGAAACTGGCTGTCCATAGCCTGGATGGGTGTACTCTTCACTGGTTAAAAAAAAAACCTGGCTGGATGGCCAGGCCCAGAGAGTGGTGGTGAATGAAATTAAATCCAGCGGGCAGCCAGTCACAAGCGGTATTCCCTAGCGCTCAGTGTTGGGGCCAGTCTTGTTTAATATCTTTATCATTGATCTGGACAAGGGGATTGAGTGCTCCCTCAGTATGTTTGTAGGTGACACCAAATTGGGCCATAGTGTTGATCTGCTTAAGGTAGAAAGGCTCTTCAGAGGGATCTGGACAGGCTAGAACAATGGGCTGGGGCAAATTGCACGAAGTTCAACAAGGCCAAGTGCCAGATCCTACATCTGGGTCACAACAACCCCATGCAATACTACAGGCTTGGGGAAGAGTGGCTGGAAAGTTGCCTGACAGAAAAGGACCTGAGGGTGTTGGTTGACAGCCAACTGAATACAAGCCAGCAGTGTGCCCAGGCAGCCAACAAGGCCGACAGCATCCTGGCCTGTATTGGAAATAGTGTGGCCAGCAGGAGTATGGACATGATTGTTCCCCTGTACATGGCTACACCTCAAACACTGTGCTCAGTTTTGGGCACCTCATTACAAAGAAAAAAGACAAAGTGCTGGAGAATGTCCAAAGAAGGGTGAAGAGTCTAGAGCAAGAGACTTGTGAGGAACAGCTGAGGGAATTGGAGTTGTTTAGCCCGGAGAAAGAGAGGCTCAGTGGAGACCTTACTGCTCTCTACAACTATCTGAGAGGAGGCTGTAGCAAGATGGGTGTTGGCCTCTTCTAAGTGAGAAGTGACAGGATGAGAGAAAATGGCCTTAAGATGCACCAGGGTTGGTTTACATTAGATGTTAGGAAAAATTTCTTCACCAAAAGCGTTGTCAAGAACTGGAAGAGGCTGCCCAGAGAAGTGGTGGAGTCACCACTCCTGGAGATATTTAAAAGATACGTAGATGTGGCACTTAGAGACGTGGTTTAGTGATGGACCTGGTAGTGCTAGGTTTACAGTTGGACTTGATCTTAAAGGTTTTTTCCAACCTAAATGATTCTATGATCTAGAGTGGGAGAAAAACTGCAAAAACCAACCTGCAAAGGCACTATTTCTGCATGCTGCATCTTCGCTTAAGGGGAAAAGGTGCATACACGAAAAGAGAACATGTGTTCTTGCCCTTCAAAGAAAGGTTATGCTATCTGACCCTGAAACTTGGAATTAAAACATCTTTCTTAAATAAAGACTCCTCCACAGTATTTTATTTCCTGAAGAAACCTTGTTTCTTGCAGGTAATGTGCATGGTGCTGACAACAGTGGCCCTGCAGGTCACAGGAACTGATCCTGAAGCACCACATGACTGCCATCAACAAACGAAACATCTCAAACAGCAGACTGCGTATTTGAAAAATCATCTCCTAAAGAAGCAAATTTTCCACTTCAATAGCAAAAAGTATGTCTCAAGGTAGAATAAATCAATCTCTTTGTTTGCATCTCAAAGTACAATTGAATTTTGACAGTATTTCCTACCACCAGTATTTTAAGTACTTGAACAAAG